TTTACATATAAATTTCTATTGCATACCTTGTGCAACCCTTAAACTATCTCATGCACTATTAATTTAATAAACTTTTTAATTATTCCTAATTTGTCATTATTATTATACATCTGACGATCATGGTACTTAATGTATCCGATCTCACTAATGCCGCCCGACACTATGATCTTCCATACGGCCCTGATCGATCACATGATCACATGAATCGTTCGAACCATATTCCCGTCGCACTTTTTCACTTATCGATTCATAGTACATTTTGCTATCGATCTGCATCCCTTTTACTAAATACAAAGGCTCTTCAAAAACTATGCGACAGGAGCTGAACCCCAGTGGTTCTCGTCTTCGAGGACCTTATCGTTTTCATTCATTTGTTCTTGGTTAGATCACGTGGTTCTTCATTCCAGGTAAATAATTTTTTTATCCTATTTCTTGTCACTGGGTCTTTGAATTCACAACCATCAAGCTCATTTAAATACACTTGTCCATAATTTCCTACACTTCGAACCCTATAAGGTCCCATCCATCGGTAATCCAATTTTCGGAGCGACATATCCAACATCGAGTTATATACTAGGACCAAGTCCTCTATTTGGTAAGTCTCTTTTACTCTTGCCTTTTTGTCATGTAATTCCTTCCACTGATATTTTAATTCATCCTTTTCAATTTGCGCCCTTTTAAGATCCACTACCAATCCCTTGATTTGTTTGGTTTGGTACTCTAACAACTCATCCGTCGTCTATTCCTTTCTTGCAACGTACACCTGATAGGTCCAACATCAATTAAATGGGTGTTACAGCATCGCGTCTATATACTAGGCGGAATGGTGAATATCCCAAATCACTTACTGTTATATTAATTGCCCAAATCGTGCTTCTGACATACTCATGCCACTTATTTTGCTTTTCTGCACAAATTTTTCTTAAGATTCTGGTGAATTTTTGCACTGTTTGTTCTGCACGTCCGTTTGCTTCCGGGTGGTAGCTGGCCACAAACCTCTGATCGACATTCAACCTAATTGCCAATTCGGCTAACACATTGTTCTTAAATTCGGTACTCCTGTCCAAAACAAGCACTGCGAAACACCCATACCTTGTTATAATTTTATCCCAAATAAATTGAGCTATTATATTAGCATTTTTTTTCTTCAGTGCCTTTCCTTTCATATACCTAGTCAATTCTTCAACTGCCAATACAACATGTTCGTGGCCTCCTGAAGTTCTTGGCAATGGCTCTAGACAGTTGATGTACAGTTTATGGAAAATCCAACTTGTCGTGACCACGTGGATTGGTTCCTTGATTGCTTTTGTTGCACATCTTTGACATTGTATACATGACTTCACATATTTCTTTGCATCTTCATATACATTTCCTGTTGCTCAACAATAGTTCATTAAAACCTTTCTTGCGGTTCCATTGATACTTTTATGTCCCTCATCTTCGGCTGTTCCTCAATGATTCGCTTCTAATATCTTGAACTTTTCATTTTCATCAAATATCACTCATTTTGGTGGAACACCTCCCTTAGATCTCTTGTACAAATGATCGCCGATTACACAATAATGTTTCATCTTTTGTTGCAACCGTATTAAATCCGACGTTTTTACCTCACATGACCACTTAAAATCCTGTAGATACCCTTTTATCCAATT